TGCCCGCGCTCTGCTACTGGCGGCCCAGGGTCGCATCCCTGCGCACCGACGCACCGCTTCTCCGGCCATGCTGAGGCTGTGTCCCACATACAGCAACTAGAAGGATGTGCAGCTATGACATACAACTATCTACTGGGGCTTTGGGGGAAAAATAAATAAATAAAATTTAAAAAAATGAGGATTATAGTATAAAAATGGCTTTTAGTTTAATTTTTCCCATTAACAATTTTTTAAACATTTTTTCATGGTGTTATATATTCTCCCATGACGACATTTTTCATTGCTGCATTGTTTTCTGTTGAGTAAATGTGCTGTAGTTTATTTAACCAAACCTCAACAATTGAAATTTAAAGTGTTCCTACTATTTCACCATTATAAGCAATGTTGTGATGAATATCCTAGCAACTAAACCTGGCACACATACATGGCTATTTCCTTCGAATACATTCCTAGAACTACAATTGTTGAGTGAGAAAGTATGTAGAATAAAAAGAGTGTTTAATGTGTTGCCCAATTGTCCAGTTACTTTCCTGTAGGGTTTGTGTATCTTTCACGAAGCCCTGCCTCATTCTCTGAAGTTTGTATTTGGTAGGTGGAAAATTTTATCTCAGAGTTGGCATTACTGGTGAGACAGAACAGTTTTTCCTTCTTTCTTTCTTTTTTTTTTTTGTGAGGAAGATCAGCCCTGAGCTAACATTGATGCCAATCCTCCTCATTTTGCTGAGGAAGATCGACCCTGGGCTAACATCCGTGCCCATCTTCCTCTACTTGATATGCGATGCCGCCACAGCATGGCTTGACAAGTGGTGCGTTAGTGTGTGCCCAGGATCGGAACCTGCGAACCCTTGGGCCGCCGATGCGGAGCTCGAGCACTTAACCACTGCACCACCAGGCCGGCCCCCAGAACAGTTTTTCATATGCTTCTTGACTGATGGGATTTCTTCTTTTGTAAATTGCCCATTCATGTCAATTTGCTCAGTTTCCTATTGGGATGTTTCTCTTTTTTTTGTTAATTTATAATTGTATTTTACATATTAAGCATATAAGCCTCCTCTCTTATATATTGCAAAATATTTTTCCCTAGGTTATTATTTGCTTCTCGTTGTATTTTTAGTGATTTTTTAATTTTGGGGGAGACTAATTAAAGTATTTTATTTTTATGTAATCAAGGCTCTTGATTTGTGTGTGTGTGTGTGTGTGTGAGGAAGATTGGCTCTGAGCTAACATCCATTGCCAATCCTCCCCTTTTTGCTGAGGAGGATTGTCCCTGAGCTAACATCTGTGCCTATCTTCCTCTATTTTGTACGTAGGACGCTGCCACAGCATGGCTTGATGAGCAGTGTGTAGGTTCGCACCTGGGATCCAAACCTCAGATCCCTGGGCCACCTAAGCTGAGCATGTGAATTTAACCACTATGCCACCGGCCTGCCCCTCTTGACTTTTTTTCAATTGAGGTAACATTGGTTTATAACATTATATAAATTTCAGGTGTACATCATTATATTTCAACTTCTGCATAGCCTACATCCTGTTCACCACCAAAAGTCTAGTTGCCATCCATCACGGTTCAAAGGAGCCTTTTTACCCCTTTCACCTTCCCTCTACCCCCTTCCTCTCTGGTAACTACCAGTCTATTCTCTGTATCTATATCTCAATCTTTTCTTTTTTAATGATTTCTGCCTTTGGTGATGCTTAGAGAGAAATCCTCCATCCCAAGATGATGTAAATAATCACCTATGTTTTCTTCTTGTATTGGTATATCTTCCTTTTTAACACTACAAGTTATAACCCATCTGAATTCATTCTAGAGTATGAGGTGAGGCAGGAATATAATTAGACCTTTTTCCAAATGATTGGTCAGTTGATCCAACACATTTTTAAAAATTCAATACAGGGGCCGGCCCCATGGCTTAGTGGTTAAGTGTGCGCGCTCTGCTACTGGGGGCCCAGGTTCGGATCCTGGGCGTGCGCCGACGCACTGCTTCTCCAGCCATGCTGAGGCCACGTCCCACATACAGCAACTAAAAGGAGTGCAACTATGACATACATCTATCTACTGGGGCTTTGGGGAAAAAAAAGGAGGAGGATTGGCAATAGATGTTAGCTCAGAGCCAGTCTTCCTCAGCAAAATGAGGAAGATTGGCATGGATGTTGGCTCAGGGCTGATCTTCCTCACAAAAAAATAAATAAATACAAATAAAAATTCAATACATATTGATTAAAGCTTTTTATGAGAAAGCTCCAGTTAAAAGTGATGGCAGGGGCCGGCCCCGTGACGTAGCGGTTAAGTGCATGCGCTCCGCTGCTGGCGACCCGGGTTCGGATCCCAGGCGCACACAGATACACCGCTTATCAGGCCATGCTGTGGCAGCGTCCCATATAAAGTGAAGGAAGATGGGCACAGATGTTAGCTCAGGGCCAATCTTCCTCAGTAAAAAAGAGGAGGATCAGCATCAGATGTTAGCTCAGGGCTAGTCCTCCTCACAAAAAATAAATAAATAAATAAGACATGCCTGTGTCTTGAATGAGATCATAGTCCATGTTAAAAACTAATAAATATGAACAAAATTCTATAGGACTAGAGAAAATGCAACAAATAAATCTACTGGCAGAAATCAGAGAAGGTGAAGTTTAAGCTGCATCTGTAAGAATGAATGAATGGTATGGGATTTCTCTTAGGAGTGATGAAAATGTTCTAAAATTGATTATGGAGGGCCGGCCCCGTGGCTTGGTGGTTAAGTTTGCGCGCTCCACTGCTGACGGCCCAGGTTCGGATCCCGGGCTTGCACCGACATACCACTTCTCTGGCCATGCTGAGGCCACGTCCCACATACAGCAACTAGAAGGCTGTGCAACTACGACATACAACTATCTACTGGGGCTTTGGGGGAAAAAATAAATAAATAAAATTAAAAAAATAAAAATAAAATAAAATTGATTATGGTGATGTTGCACAATTCTGTGAATATACTAGAAATCATTGAATTGCACATTTTAAATGGCTGAATTGTATGGTATATGAAGTATCTCTCATAAGGTTGTTAGAGTTAAAAGAAAAAAAGAAGAATGAGTTGGAGTTTCAAATAGAAGGGATGTACCTTTTAGGAGGAGGGGAGTTTTGGTTTGGGGAGGGTATTTGCAAGGAATTTTCTCTTTCTTTCTTTCTTTTTTTGCTGAAGAAGATTTGCCCTGAGCTAACATCTGTCACCAATCTTACTCTTTTTTTTTGCTTGAGGAAGATTAGCCCTGCGCTAACATCTGTGCTAATCTTCCTCTACTTTGTATGTGGGCTGCTGCCACAGCATGGCTCCCAATGAGTGGTATAGGTCCACCCCTGGGATCTGAACCTGCAAACCCAGGCTGCTGAAGCAGAGTGTGCCGAACTTAACCACTATGGTTAAGAATGTTCTCTTTAAATGATGAGAATCCCCTTGTTCTGAGATGTTGAAAATTGCAAGGCATTGACAGCTCAGCCTTTTATGGAATGGATATATGTTGCCAGGCACTGAGCTGGGCCTTAGGGCTGCAAAAATGACAATGATGTAGCCCCATAATTCAAATCTCTTAGACTAGTGAAGTGTGTGTGCTCACAGGGAAATGACGGCAACACCATTTATTGAACAATTTAACTATTCCATTCTGCTCTGAAATGTCACCTTTGACACATATTAAAATATATACTTAAGCCTGTTTCTGGACTTGCTATTCAGTTGAATTGATTTCTAGGATTATTTCAGCCAATTCCACATTCTTTGTATTATTTTACTTGAACTATTTCTTTCTCTCTCTTTTTTTAACAGCTTCATTTAGATATAATTTACATACCATATATTTAATTAATTTTAAGTGTACAAATCAATAATTGTTAGTAAATTTACAAAGCTGTACAACCATCACTACAATCTGATTTTAGAACATTTTCATCACCCCAAAAAGAAACCTCATGCCCATTCCCACCCCCAGCCCCAGGCAGCCATGAATCTACTTTCTGTCTCTATAAATTTGCCTTTTCTGGACATTCCGTGTAAATGGAATCATACATGTCATCTTTTACATCTGGCTTTACTTTATCTGTTTTTTTTGTTTTTTTTTTTTTTTTGCTGAGAAAGATTAGCCCTGAGCTAACATCTGCCAATCTTCCTCTATTTCTCTACTTTATATGTGGGTCACTGCCACAGTGTGGCTGACAAGTGATGTAGGTCTGCGCCCGGACCGCCGAAGCGGAACACGCTGAACTTAACCACTATGCCACAGGGCCAGCCCCT